CGAGCAAAGTCAGCTCGGCTTCTTGTAAGTTGGACAAGGCACCAACATATCGCTTGGCCGAGCAAAGTCAGCTCGACTATTATTAGTTGGGCAAAACACCAACATTTCGTTTTGGCCGAGCAGAATCAGCTCAGCCTTAACATTGGGCAAAACACCAATATTTCATTTAAGTTGGACATGACGCCAACATCCTAATTGGGCGAGCAAAAAACCAGCTCGGCCCTTATGTGAATTGGACCATACGCCAATCATTTCATTGGACAATACACCAACTGTTTGTGCGGTCCATTTCTATACCGGCGAGAGAAAATCAGTCCGGTCCCATTCAGGTCGGTCTCTCTACCCCTGGTATCCACTGTGGCCTTGTATCCTTGCAGTGTCATTGCACAGAAAGATGTGAAACAAAACAATAAGAGGGCTATTTTTCATTACAAAAAGCAGCGCTATCTTTACATCAAATGCCAAAAGGCTAAAGGTCTAAAAAGCTAAGCAATTACATTTTAAAAGTAAAAGATCTTAAGGTTGGCTGCATTCCACGGTCTGGGGACAGCTTTGCTATCTAAATCTTCCAGATGGTATGCCCCTTTGCCAGCGAAACCAGTCACCTTGTATGGTCCTTCCCAATTTGCACCGAGCTTTCCTTCGCCAGGGATCACCGTGTTGCCCAGTACTTTTCTTAAGACCCAGTCCCCGATCCTGAACAGCCTGGGGTGCACAGCCTTGTATTTCTTGGAGAGTTCTTGCTGATAGGCCGCTATGTGGATTAGGGCCCGCTCCCTCATTTCCTCGGCAAGGTCTAGCTCCAATACCACTGCTTCATTGTTCAAATCTGGCTGGAAGCTTTCGGATCGGATGGTTGGCATGCCAATTTCCAGTGGGATAACGGCTTCCATGCCATAGGCCAAGGCAAACGGAGTCTCTCCGGTCGACCGTCTTGGCGTAGTGCAGTACGCCCAGAGTACGCTAGGGAGTTCTTCAGCCCACTTCAACTTGGCCTTCTCAAGCCGCTTCTTGAGCCCGTCCAGGATGGTCTTGTTTAAGGCCTTTGCTTGACCATTTGACTGCGGATAGGCCGACGTTGAATTATAGAATTCGATCTTCAACTCTTCGCAAAATCCGCGAAAGAGTTTTCCATTGAATTGAGTGTCATTATCTGAGATGAGGGCCTTGGGTATACCGAAGCGAGTGATAACATTTTTCCAAACAAACTTCTTCACATCCTTTTCCTTTATGGTCGCCAGTGGCTCAGCCTCAACCCACTTTGTGAAGTAATCGGTGGCGGCGATGAAGAATTTGCGATTGCCCGGGGCTGCTGGGAGTGGCCCCACTATATCCAATCCACAGAGTGCGAACGGCCAAGGACTTGTAAGAGGGAGCAATTCTCTCGCTGGCTGGTGGATCTGGTGAGCAAATTTTTGGCACTTTTCACATCGGCGAACATATTTCTGCGCGTCTGCCTGCATGCACAGCCACCAATAACCTTGGGAAATTGCTCTGTAAGCCAGTGACCTACCCCCAGTATGGCTGCCGCAGATGCCTTCATGGATCTCATAAAAGCAGGGTGAACGCATTTCAGATACGGCCCGGTAAAAGACTTCTTATACAAGGCTCCGGACGGGGAGAGCCAAAACCGCTCTGACTTGGCCCGGATCTTGTTGACCGCCTTCTTCTCTTCTGGTAGAACTCTATCTTTCAGGAAGACGATGATGGGGTCCATCCAGGAAGGACCCAAGTTGGCGCAGAGCACCTCAGTCATTTCCGGTTCCTCAATGCTCGGCCGAGGTAAAAATTCTATCATCAAGGGGTTAGGAAAAGCTGTCTGAGCAGAAGCAAGTCTGGCCAATTCATCAGCCGCGCTGTTTTTCTCGCGGTCGATTTGTTCCATCCTTATTGCAGCGAACTTCTTGATCTTTGCGCGTACCAACGCCTGATACTTGGTCATTCTTTCGTCCTTTGCCTCATACTCCCCCGAGACCTAATCGACCACCAGCTTGGAATCGCTGAATACCATCAGAGCTGACGCCTTCATTCTCAATGCGCTTCTTAGCCCGGCAAGAAGGGCTTCATACTCCGCTTCGTTGTTGGATGCTGGGAAGCCGAACGTAATTGCCTGCTCGATAATCAGCCCATTCGGTGAAGTCAGTACGATACCCAGCCCGGCCCCATGCCTGTTGGATGCCCCATCGACGAAGAGCTTCCACATCTCGCCAATAAACAGCTTCCAGCAATCAGAGGGGTTCTGGGAGCTTCTCAATTCCAAGTCTCTGATCGATTCATTCTGGTCTCTTTCCTTGCCTTGATTGAGCACGTCTTCCAAGAAGTCACCCGGCTCCTCTAGTGCGGTCGCTCTTTGGCCTTCTCCCGCTTTTGAGCCAACACTCGTTTCTATCGCCAGAACCGTGGGCTGTGCTAAATCCGCACAAGCCAAATCAACCGGGCAAACTGGATGCGCTCCAGGGGCGAATTCCGCCACAAAGTCTGTAAGAGCTTGAGCCTTGATTGCGGTGCGCGGACGGAATTTGATATCGTACTGCCCCAATTCCATGGCCCATTTCAAAATTCTTCCGGTGAAGTCTGCCTTTTCAAAAAGCACCTTAAGCGGGAACTCGGTTAACACAACTATTGTATGGGCATGAAAATAATGCGCCAGCTTTCTTGATGTCATCATCAGGGCCAGTGCTAATTTTTCCAGCGGAAGATACCTCGTCTCGGCCGGGAGCAAAGTCTTGCTCACATAGAAGATTGGCAAGTGTTGGATGCCTTCAGCGCGGACTATGACGGCGCTCACGACATGTTGAGAGACAGCCAAGTAGAGATACAATTCTTCGCCCGGTCGAGGTGTGACTAAGATAGGGGCTGAGGAAAGGTATATTTTTAAGTCTACCAGTGCACAGTCACATTCGTCATCCCAAAAGAACTTACCCTTCAAAGTTTTAAAGAAGGGCCTGCAACGATCTGAAGACCGGCTGATGAATCTGTTCAGCGCGGCTGCCATCCCGGCAAGATGTTGCACGTCCTTCGTGGAGTTTAGGCGCTCCAGCTCTTGTATAGCCTTGATCTGTGATGGGTCAGCTTCAATCCTTCAATTTGTGACCAAAAACCCCAGAAACTTCCCAGTGCCGACGCCGAAGGCGCACTTGGAGGCATTCAAACAAAGTTTGTGGCGCTTAAGTATGGCAAATATTTCTACTAGGTCGGCGAGGTGTTGAGACTTCTCCTTACTCTTTACCACCATATCGTCGATGTAGGCCTCCATTGTTTGGCCCAAAAGAGGAGCGAACATCTTTGTCACCATCCTCTGAAAAGTTGCCCCGGTGTTCTTCAGTCCGAATGGCATGACTTTATAACAATACAGGCCTCTAGGAGTAGTGAACGACGTGATCTCTCGGTCCGATTCATACATGGCTATCTGGTGGTAGCCGCAATATGCATCGAGGAAGCTAAACCTCTGATGGCCAGCGGTCAAGTCCACTAGCTGGTCAATTCGAGGGAGGGGGAAGCTATCCTTTGGGCACGCACGGTTAATTGTCTTGTAGTCAACGCAGACTCGCCACTTACCATTCTTTTTCGGGACGACCACCGTGTTGGATATCCAACGAGGGTATTGCACCTCTTCTATCGCTCCTACTTCCAGCAGATTTTTGACCTCCTCTGCCACTACCTCGGCATGGTGCAGAGCCGAGCGGCGAGTCCTCTGAATGACTGGCCGCGCATTTGGAAAGACGTTCAACTGATGGCAAATGAAATTAGGGTCAACGCCAGGCATATCGTAAGGCGTCCACACAAAAGCCTCCATGTTGGAAACCAAGAAGTTGACATAATTCAACCACTCAGTGCTAGACAAAGATGATCCCAAGAGAAAGAACTTAGTCGGGTCATTCTCGTCGATGCGCACTTCCACCAAATCCTCGATCGATTTTTCCTCGGCCTTTCTTCCTACGTCTTCAAGGACCTCCTTTCCCTCAGGTCCCTCAATCATTTGGACAAATCCTTTAGCCGCTCGGCTGCCATTTACCGCAACGAAGCATTGTTTCGCCATCACCTGGTCTCCCCAAACTTCCTCTATTTGTTCGTTTGGTGTCGGGAAGCGCAAGACCTAATGGTAAGCCGACGCTACTGCTTACATGGCGTGCAACCAGCCCCTGCCTAAAATTAAGTTGTGGGTGGATGGGACTTCGAGCATCCAGAACTCTACTTGCTTTGTGACTGAACCCGCTTTGACCGGCAGTATGATCTTCCCTACCGGCCACTCTGGCTGAGAGTTGAAGCCAACCAAAGGGGACGTCGCAGGGGCCAAGTCCTTGTCCTCCAACTTCATTTGTTTGAACGCGTCATAGTACATAATTTCGACCAAACTTCCCTGGTCGATCAAGATCCTCTTGATGTCAAAGTCTTTGACGCGAAGAGTTACCACTAGGGCGTCATTGTGGGGCATCTGGATCCGCTCTAAGTCCCTGTTCGAAAAGGTAAGAATGTCCTTCTCCTTGGTCTTCCCTTTCTTCACAGCGGGCCGAACGGAGAGCACTTCCCTCATGTGCTCGGCTTTCTTAATCATCCCTCTGAGCTCGCAGACCCTTGCTGGTTCAACGATGCCATGGATGACATTGATTACGCCTTGGGGTGCTGCCTCTAGGGCGGCTAGGCCGTTTGGCTAGGTTTGCCCCAATGGCGCGGCTTTCATACCCCCATCTATGTATTAGTCAAGATGTCTCGCGGCCACTAGCTCTTTCAAATGTTGTTTGAGCGGCAAGCAGTCCTCCGTTCGGTGTCCCCGTTCCTCATGGAAGGTGCAGCAATACCTTGAGTTGAAGCCTCTTTATGCATTCCCTAACTTGGCCGGCCAGCGGACAAAAGGCTCGCCTCTGATCTCACTCAAGATGCGGTAGATAGGGATTTTAAAGACCGTGGTGATTCCAGTCCGCGCTTTCAATCTTCTCTTAGCATCCTCCGCTGCATCACGGGGAGCGTCAGCTCGGTCGTTTCTGTGACCCTTGTTTCTGTCATCGCGGTTTGGGCCACGTTGTTGATCTGTCGCTTGGGCGGTTATCCTCCTGCCCGACCGAGTGAACTTTCCCTGCTACCCTTCTGTCCGCTGCGACCGGATTAACCTTCTCGGTCGCAGAGGCGGCATCATCCTCCACACGAATGTGCTCATTGATCCGCTGCATCAAGGACTCCATGGTTGTGGGTTGGTGCATTGTGAGCGAGTCCCGCAGCCTATGCCCGACTGGGAGACCCCGCTTGTATTGAGTGATCGCCAGATTGGTAGGGCAGTCGAGGATTTCGTTGTAAGTTTCCCAGTACTTCGCGTTGTATGCCTTCAATGATCCCCCTGACTCCATCTTGACGCCCAGAAGATGATCGACCTCCTTTGGCGTTCGAGTGTTGGTTTTGATTCTGGTGACAAAGGCTTCCGCTAGTTGCTGCCACCCCTCTATACTCCCTTCTGGAAGCCTTTCGAACCACTTCAGGCCCAGTTCTCCCAAGCTTGCTGGGGATATGAGGCACATCAAGGCGTCATTGCACCGGTGGCCAGCCATTACTTGCCGGCAATGACTCACGTGCATGAACGGATCCGTTTTGCCGTCGTACAAGGTGAACTTAGGCTGGTGGAATCCGGCAGGGAGTAGTGTACTCTCGATCTTCGGAGACAACGGCGTGGCTATAAGTCTCGCCAGCTCTTTGTCCACTGGCGCATAGGCCATCACTCTGGGCACTGGCATCGCCACTTCTTCGCTACAGTGAACGGAGGCGCTCAATCTCTGCTAAGCTGGAACTCTCTGAGCCTCTCGACGGTGCGCCCTCTCCTCCAATACATCCCTCATGTCTCTGGAACGGGTAGAGAAAGAGTATCGTGACATCGGAGAATGGCGTGAGGGACGGTATGTGCTGTCTCGAGTGAGGGATCTGCCCTCCCTTCGGTCGGAATCTCCAACCCCATAGTTTCTGGTGATGGAGAGAGAGTGGGTCCTCTCCTGGCGGCGACTGTTAAAACGAGGGGACGGGGTGCGCTCACTGAGGTTGCCCTCTCCAGCAACACCCTTCTCCTTGATCTGGCGTTTCAGCATCTCCATCTCCGCCGCCATCCTGCGAATGAGGGCGTCTTGGTCTTTGAGTTTGTGCTCCAGATGCTGCGTACGGGAATCCCCCCGTTGCCGACGGCCCTCTGGGCTCTTCGAGCGATCAGTGCTCCTTCCACATTTGTCTCGCGCACCTCGCAAAGAGGTTTCCAGGCCCGCCATGGCCGGAACATTCGGGGGGCCTTCTCTCCGTCGGACAGACTCTGGTGTGACGTCATCAACGATGGACAGTGGAGTTTCGTCGTTGTTGGCCATGGAGATGGTTGAGGAAGCTTGAAAAACAAGGTTTGAGTATCAAAGAACTTCCCACAGACGGCGCCAATTGTACGGGGGGCGAAATCTCCTCTACTTTCCGTACTCCTTGGAGTTCAAGCTTCACGTGACGGCGTCTAACCTGACAACACAGAGAACGCTGAGCTGCCCGGCGGTGGTGTGCCGGATAGACCCTCCGATAATCAAGTCAGATCACTAAAGGAAGAAGGAGGCTATTCGAGAGAGAGAGAATGTTTCAGATAGTGCAAGTTGCTTACCTCTAACGTTCATCTTCCCTTCTTATTTCTAGGCTAGCCATGCAGCCTCAGGATTGTGCGCGCACTACCTCTGCTGTCCTTCCCTGGACAAGTGGCAGTGCTCGCCTCTCACCACCTTACGCGTGTAAAGGCCTAGTCCTCTAACCAGTACATGCAGAACCGCCAAAGGGTATTGACGCGTGCTTGGAGCAGATTTCCTCTCCCTCACGCCATTGGCCCAGGTGGCATGCTTAACCGGAGTATCACGACCGGTCTATCTCTTAAGAAGAATTGCCATCACAAGCCATACAACTGAGCTGTATCTTGCCGACCTATCCCTTAGGAACAAGTGAAAGTCAGATTCTCATAACCGAGCTGCGCGTGACCGGTCTGTCCTAGCTGACCGGTCATGAAGCGTGCCGGCCCTTCCCCGCTCTTCTTTCATCCTAAATCATATGCAATCCGGCCACCTCGGCTGACCGGTAGGGCGTGCCGGCCCTCGCCTGTCTTCAGTCTGGCCCGGGCTACCCTTAGCTCGGTTGCTTCACGTCATCTCGCGTCCAGCTAAATGCCCTCCAGGTCATTGCTCGGCCAGACCCCAATCCATGCCTGATCGGCCGGTTCCCTCGGAACATGACAAGCCGGGGGCCGCGGCAACCGAGAACACAGCTCGGCGTCGTGAGATTTGACCAACCTGCGTTTCCGTAGCTCGGCCATACAGTCCGGTCTAAAACTCCCCTCACAGCTATCAACAGGCAGACCCGACTTTCGATTTGTTTAAGATTAACTTTGATGGATCATTGTTCAAAGATTTGCAAACTATTGGTGTGGGTGTGGTTGTTGGATACCATTTGGGGGGTGATTGCGGGGTTATCAAAACAACTTCCTTTTTGGGTGGGTGCTGACTGTGCGGATTGCATCAATCAATCTGGATGGAAGGAATTTCGTTGTAGCTACTACTTTGCCTTGAAGGCACAGTAGCTCATTCCGAATCTCTTACGATGATCTGAAATGTTTACATTATAAGATTAGTCAAAAGCATTATGCATGTAAAAAATTAAATTAATTGGATATTCATAACTCAATGATTGAGTTCTAATTATTTTTTAAAAATTATCAAAATTATGTTAATCGTTTTTTTAAAAAAATAAATAAATAAATAAATGTGCTCTTGTTATGGGGTTGTGGTTATCCAATCAACTTGATTTTTTTATATGGATAATTTACTTGACGAACTCTACAATATAAACCGTTCAAATTATTAAAAGAGATTCCGAATAAGCCTCCACAATAATAATAGTAATAATAATAAATAAATAAGCATTACCTGTTTTTTATATGAGATGAAACTATTTTGGAGCCAAAGAAATCAATGCCTCACTGTATGGTAGTTCTGCTTAAATTGACAATACCCATTATTACTCTTTTCTGTTTTCCTCCATTTGGTATAATTGCTTATGTAATTGACATTAATCTTGCGTTGAGTGGCCAAAAATATTTATTGATGGGGTCATGTAATAACTATATACTAAATTCTTAAATCCTAAATTTCAAATATGGTTAATTTAACTTTTAAGATGAATTATATTTTTCATCTTTATAATTCGATTCAAATTTCATTTTTATTCTTATTATTTTAATTTGAATAATTTAATTCATATTTTTTAAATTCAGTTTCAATTTGGTCATTACGTTCAAATGTCTTTAATTTTTCCCTTCTGTATAATTAAAGAGACTGACAAATGTTCCAAAATTAATTTTTATCTCCAATTTGAATAAAATAACCAGATTAAAACTAAACTTAAGAGTATAGAAAATAAATTATTCAATTTAAAACAATTCAGATTAAAGTGAAATTTAAGTCAAACTATAGGGATTAAAAATATATTTACCCTAACTTTTATTTCTTAAACTATCAATTTCATATCTTTATTTTCCAAAGCTTCTAATTTGGACTATTTGATAACGATTGTCCAAATCAATAAGTGTTAAAGCATAATTTGATAGGTAAAAAGGTTATTTCAAAATTATAACAACTTAAATCATTCAACCAAACACATTGTTCTTACTCACTACTTTGAAATAGGGATGGAGAGGAAGATGGTTATTTAGTTAAGGGTGTAAAAAAAGAGTAAATTACAAATATATTTTTTGATACGTGCTTAAAATACATATTGCTCTTTATGGTTTGAAAAATTATAAATATTCTCTTATCAGAACTTTTATTTAACAAAACTAATTTAAAAAATAATATTTCTAATTGTTATATAATAATAAAATTACCTAAATTATTAATTGAAATAAATTTATGACATTATTAAAAACTATTAATTGACTTGATAATTTATTAATAAAGCGTGCCATTTGTTATGAAATTAGAAATTTCAAGTGGCAGGATATAATTTGTAGAACCACAACGGATAATTTTTATTTTAAGCAAATCTTAAGAGGTGTATTTATAATTTACTCTTAAAAAAAAGGGAAAATTACTTGCTAGTGGGAAGTTGGAAAATTTATTATATATATATGAAATTTTTTATAATTTTAATTATTAATATTGATAAAGTTTATTACCAATTTGTAATTATTTTTCAATGTTTACACTAAACTGGTAAAGTACTCTCACCTCCCTTCAAATTAAAGAAATTTAGCATAAAATTCGTATTATGCACTGGATTAAATAAAGATCAATAATTTATTTAAAATTAAATAACAATTATAACTTTCAAGAGTTTTTAAAGTTTAAAAAAAAAAAAAAGGGTTGTTTCAAGATGGTGAGTTACGCAATTTTTGTACAATCCTACCCTCTATTTCTCTTTATTTTAATATTTTAGTAAAAAAGTTGAATTTGAAAGAAAATTGAAATTTTAGAGAGAGAAATAGAGGTAATTTTGATTGTGGTGAAAAATTGATATTGTAGTTTTAATATATTTTAGTTGTGATGCAAATTTGACATGGTGGTAGTGGTAAATTTTGGAGCAAGGTAGGTTCAAAATTTGGTTAAGAAGATAAGTGAGATGTGGCCTAAAATTTCGTTTTTTTCTTTTTTCCATTTTTCATTAATTTTCGATTTTTTTTTTTATTTTAGTTTTTAGTATTTAGAAGGATAAGTGAAAAATATTAATGAAATTATTAGTAAATTTTGGTTTATAAACTAAAAGTACACTAATAAAATAGGATAAACAAAAGTTGAGTTTAAAAGAAAAATAAGATTTTCGTAATGTGTAGCAATATAAAATTAGTTCAAGTAATAAAAAGAAATTCAAGTAAAACTAACTCAGTAATGGCACTTGAAGATATTAATTACTATTATTAAAATATAAAATAATTAATGTTAAAATGATCATATTTATATATTATATTTAATTATTATATGATATGATATATCATCACTATAGTAATTACAAATATGAGTGATAAGATTCATTCGATCAAAATAATTACAACAAATAAGATGATAAACTTAATATAATTTATAAATATGACCATTATTATATTATTCATATAAAATTACTCAACTTTTTAAGTAAAGATGTCACAATAGTTCTATTAAATTCGCAAATAGTCCATTTCTAATATTACTTTATTCATAATTTTATCAAAACAACATCTCGTATTCTATATAAATTTTCTACAAATAATTCTCTTTAGAAAATTAGAAGTCATTTTTCATATGAATTTCCTCTATGTCAACAAAAAAGTATTTGAGATGAATTGCATATGAGTAATGCTAAAAACTCTAAAAATTTTATCAAATTTTCTATTAAATGTCTCACATGAGTTTGGGCACAACATGTGAGACATTTAGTAGAAAATTTGATAAAATTTTTAGAATCTCTAACATTTTTCATTGCATATTATATAGAGCACATCATTTTTAGAAAAGTTTTGATTAATATAAATGGTTGAAATTATCAATTTTTTTACTAATTAATCTATCACCTTTAGGGACGAGATTTTAAGCTAGAACATGGCCCATAAAACTTGACCTTACATAGTTTTATCAAACATAAATAAATCTTAATATTCATTTAATCGATATTATGTATATTTTAGGTAAAATATTATTTTATTGAAGGGCTAAAAATGATAACAAATATGTATATATACATAACTTTTATTTTCATCACAAAAAATAGAAAAATATATTTACCATTTTTTAAAAAAAATAATAAACAAAAGTGCGTCAAAGTGGCCCAAGATTGTATACAAAATGGGGCAATTATTCAGGGACTAGGCATTATAATGTTATTATAGAGATTTATTTTTTATTTTTTTGATTTGACAGAGATTGTGTCACGACTCAAACCTACCCCTATAAGTTTAGCGTCGTAACCGGCCAGTAATCCTTAGATTACCAAAGGCCTCTTAACAGAATTTCATGTAATTAGGGACTACGGAAGCAAATATATAAACATACATAGTCTATTGAGCTGTGAAGATATACATGGAACAGATAATTTTAAACTTTTATAAACTTACAAGTAACATCAAAAG